TATACTAGATGGTCAGTCATGTGGTAGCATGTCTGTATGCTAGATGGTCAGTCATGTGGTAGTACGTTAATTGTCTGGTTAGACATTTTGATACAATCAATTGTTGTTTCAGCCTGAGGGAGTCGAGAAGCGCAAGACCCAGTCATATGTTCTTGATCCTCAAGGTATGTTTGATACAATGTCAATCAAAACTTCGTGTTGTGCCACAGGGTGCCCAATTTACATGAAGAAAAAATCTGTAATATATATTATTCATTTCGAAACCTCGGGCAAGTATAAGACTATGAAAGTATGCTAAACAATACGAGGCAAAAAGAGCAACACAACACCACAATATTCTTTTACGTATAATTCCAGTATGGTGTCTTACTATGTAGAAATACAATGAGTTTGCCCTTCAGTACAAAAGCCTAGTCGCACAGTAAATACCTATTAGAATTTATTAAAGCAGTTTTCTGCAGTTATAAAAAGTGCGTCACAAATTTTGTTTGCGCTTTTCTTCAGGTGTGTTGAAAGACAGAAAACAGGCTTCTGAAGGAAATCAAGACTTGAATAAAACAAAAAACGCAACCTTTCCCAGTGAACGTGAGTACAAAGCGATATGTACATGTTATCAGTGAAACTACTCATCAAAAATGTTTGACACTAATTTTGATTCAAGGAATGTGAATGTGAATAAACCGCGAAAAATAGAAAACGAAAACAACATTCCACCGACATTGTAGGAAAGCTCACTATTCCTTTTCTTCTTTTTTCATGAGTACGAAAACTAAGCCTGTCCTACAGGATATCAATACTTTATAAATGGCAATGATAGCTGATTTACGCTTTTTCAGTAATAACCGTGATATTCAATCTTTTATTTGCAGGTACATTTGATAGATCGAAAAACACGCAGTTTGATAATATTCTAGTTAAAGTACCTAAAGACAGCATAGAAGAATCTATTAGCGCCATGATTCACTTTACCGGTTAGTGAGATTTGTAACTAATAGTCGGATTTACCAAAAACATTTTAATGCGTCAGTCAAGGACTTAACCCATGAAATAGTTTAGTCTAAGCATCTACTTGCCTGTCATTTCGTCGTTTGATCGTACACCTCGTTTCCTTTTGTTTGTTTGTTTTCCTGGCTTGTTATTTTCTCTATTACTGTGGCATAACTTTTTTCCTGTGACCGTAGGTAATATGATTGGACCAGTTGTCACTAATCTGATCAAAGGAGGACTAGAGAGCCTTTTGCGCATGCCCACTGGATGTGGTGAACAAACCATGATATACATGTCCCCCAATGTGTACGTCCTACAGTACCTCACCAACACTAGACAAGTAACAGCAAGCGTTGAGGAGAAAGCATACAAGTTTATCCAGTCAGGTAGGATTGAGTTTGAATACCATTTACAATAAATCAAATATATATATTTAAATTCTTGTTCTTGTTTTACTAGGCTATCAACGTGAACTCAACTATCGACGATCTGATCATTCGTTTAGTGCATGGGGAGAAAGTCGTCCTGGCAGTACATGGTATGATATATTTACCTTGCACCTCTCATATCACTATTCATCGACAGTAACACTAACTCAATTTCGTTAAATTTTCTTACGTTTACAGGCTGACAGCTTTCGTTCTTAAAGTATTTTGTCAAGCCAGTAGGTTTGATGGCGTGCAGATTGACCAGGATCTCCTATGTCTGTCTGTTGACTGGCTGGTTCAAAACCAACGTGCAGATGGTGCCTTCCCAGAAATGAGGGCTGTAATTCATAGAGAGATGGTGGTGAGTTATCGATTAAAAGGTTCAATCATAAATCATGATAAAATGATAAATCATTTGATTGCCAAGAAATTGAATGCATGGTTAAATTGATTATTTTGCTCCTTACCTTATCGCGATCATGTTGGTGGTTTTTAACAAAACGTTTGTCATTATTGATGATCAGTACTTAGTCGTGCAGTGATATCAATAACAGCATTTTGGTTTATGGAAGTGTAGTTTCTAATGCTGTTTATTTTATTGAAGTATATTCAGCTATTTCAAAAAAGGTTGAATACTGAATACTGCATACTGAACCAACAGGCATTATGGGTCTAGTTAATTTGAAATAAAAAGTAAGTATACGGCAATTAACTCTCCACATGTAGTTAGCATATTGTTTCAGATGAAATACACTAAAAATAGAATAAATAATTATTTTTAATCCTACTTTAGACAATGTCACAATGACCCACAATGCACTTGGGTCTTGGAATACACTATTTGGTTTATTCAGGGTGGTGTCATACCATCTTATGCTGTTTGGTTTATTCAGTGTAGTGTCATACCATCTAATGCTGTTTGGTTTATTTAGGGTGGTGCGTATCAAAGTCATAGCGACATTGCAATGACAGCATTCGTGGTCACCGCTCTAATGGAATGTAAATGCAACGGCTTGGTAGGTTTGAATTCTTTATTCTGATTGATAAATGTTTTGATTTATGTTATTGCTTTATTTTCACCCACTCACTCACCATTATCAACATCATCAAGTTCAAAATCTTGAAAGACTCGTTATGGTCAGAGTTGTATAAATAAGAAATCCCGTTTGAGTTTAATATCATTTAACAACAAACACTTGGGATGTTGAGAGAACACGATAATAAATGATGATRATAATATTATATTTTATATTATAAAATAATTGGGATACTACGCGCTATGATTGGTCGAAAACCATGTTGTATCAAAACACGCTGTCGCCATTTCTAATCTATCGCGYGCGCTCATTGGTCAGTTTGAATAAGACGGCACGTAGGGAGAATTTACTTAGACTTTGCTTTTTTCGATCTTTTCGCGCGTATGTTATTTTATAAAACAAATCAAAAACAGTTTTCCGTGTTTGATACTCCGCTACGCGTCGTGGTTTCCTACGCTCCTCTCGTGTTCTCTCAGCATCCCGCGTGTTTTGATCAGAGTATCAAACACGGAAAACTGTTTTTGATCTGTTAAATAATATAATAATAGTAATGATGATGATGATAATGACAAACACTGGAGATGGTGAGAGAACACGATAACAAATGATGATAATAATATAATATAATTAAAATGCAGTGTCATAATAATAATAATGATAATAATAATAATATTGTTATCTACTAAGATTAATAAATATCTGTTATTTATCTATTTTTGCTATGTTTTTAGCTTAAAACAGCTGCCATCACGAGAGCTATTACTTTTCTTGAAAATAATATGGCGAACATTAACAACAAACCTTACCATTTGGCTCTTACAACGTATGCGTTAGCGATGGCAAACAGCCCGGCAAGAATCAGAGCTAATGATCAGCTGGTACAACTCGCTCTGTACAATTCAGGTAAGTAAGAAATATCAGTGGATTGATAAATGTAACAGTAATAATGTTTTACTGACATAGTCCATTGCATAATTTAGCGACCTCTAGCCGTCACTGGAATGCTGGTGGTCATGCGCTCAACATAGAGACCGCTGCATACGCGTTGCTGGCTCAAGTCAAAATGAATCGACTAAAGTACGYAGGACCTATTGTAATCTGGCTGACAGAGCAAAAAAATTCAGGCGGAGGATTTCAGTCCACTACTGTGAGTATCACTTATGTTAACCAGTATGAGCTATGTGACAAAATGGAGTTTTGAAAAAAAGTAAAATTGTATATTGCATGTATTGAAAAGCTTTAAACGAAATTGGATATAAGCAGGAAAATCTTAGAGTATATATTGTTTAATATTATCATTCAGATTGTTCCATTCTTTACATAAGAGCTTGATCAGATATTATGTGTTTAAYGGCTTGATAACATATTCTTTGTTCAATGGCTTGATAACTTATCCTGTGTTGTCTTAGCACTTAGCAAACGAAATTCACTTTCATGTCCTATGGGTCGGACGCGGGTTCCTTACACCTGTGTGAGTCCTACGGGTCGTATCGCGGGTTCCATTCCTGGGTACACCACATTTNAATATGACGTACGCCTTACACCTGTGTGAGTCCTACGGGTCGTATCGCGGGTTCCATTCCTGGGTACACCACATATGCATAGAGTTTATTTGATGTATTGTTCCCTATCTTGCCACGAAGATTTTTCCCCGAGGTCTGTCCTGAGGTTTTATCCCTCTGCATGCTAAAATCAACATGGTAATTGCTGTTATTGGGAACCCATAGACATGTTCAAAATACCATATTATTGGGCAAAAATCGTTTCTCAATTACTTGGGGGGGGGGGGGGAGATCTGACGAATCTCAGCCGAAGAAGAAAAAGAATATCGAATGATATGAGCAGTCAAACGCGAATACAAAACAATTATATTAAACCTGATGTTTTTTATTTCTTTTTTTCCAGGATACATGCGTGGCACTTCAATCCCTGGCAGTTTACAGTGAGCAAACAGCGGGATCAAAGCTAGACCTGAAAGTCACAATCAAATCAGAGCTGGGCCGAGTGAAGTTGCACAGGCAACTCAGGATAAACAAGGAAAATGCCTTATTACAGCAATCAGTTGATGTAAGTCTATCATTTATTCATAAATAGATTAACTTGTATTTCGTAAAATTCATGGTATCATTTATAAGTGTTTATAATGCTTTATGGAGGCTGTAAAATTACACAAAGAAAAGCTTTGATAAGACTGATTCTATGAGTCGTACCGATTTTTCGCTCCTTTTTCCTTGGCGGTCGCTCAACTAGCGACTTATCTCGTTTATACAAGCGTCTGCGCAAACGAAAACGAGGCTCTTGAACTTTGATTGACCGGAAGTGAAATTACATCCATAAAGGTTTCAGTAAATTTCATTAATGGATACTAGACCATTGAAAAGCGAAATAATAAATCAAAACAAATAAAAACTAAACAAACATCAATTGCCCTATTTCACTATGACGTCACATGAAAACAATCTTCAACAAT